GAGAGAGAGAGAGAGAGAGAGGGAGAGAGAAAGAAAAAAGTTGCAAAGTTGCAGCGATGAGACAGAGACTGACTTGCAGTTCGTACGTCAGCTTCTTTCTCAGTGCATCAGCAAACCTGAGTGAGGTTAAATGTGACTGCTGCGTTGTCTATATATTTTGCATATATATCCACCTTATGTGAGAAGGCGTGATCCCATGAGAGCGTCACGCATGCACATCTGAGGGGACACACATGTGCCTCTTGAACTGTGAACACATGTAGGCCTGTATGTGCACACGGAAAGGTCCTTGTGCTGAAACATTGATGGCAACCTTCCACTGTGACGCAACGGATCATCAGTTACACTTAAAGTGGGATGAATATTTCAATGGCCTTGTGGGGGGAGTGTGTGTGAGTGGGGGGGGGGGGCATAAAGAGTCAAGCTGTAGGGCAACCACAGGAGCATTCTGGGAATTTCACAGCTAAACAGTTTTCCTGCAAAGCTCCATTTTTTTTCTTGTCAGCACCCAGACACTTCTGCTCTAATCAAAAATGAATTCATGTTGAGGCAGTTTGTGAAACCACTAATAGAGATAATAGTGGATCCAACATATTCACTTAATTCAAATATAGGTCAACCCCATTATTGTTGTATTTAATTAAGTTAAGAAATATATTATTCATAAAATGATATGTACATAAACTCAGATCTGATGACTATAACGCCTGCTGGGCTGGCTGAGTGAGGATTTGGGGGATTCACTGCTGCTGCAATATCTTGCTCCGTACGTGTGGAGACGGAACTTGGGGGTGTAAGCTGAGGCGGCTGATTGGAGAGCTGGTAACAAAACACTCTGGATTTATCTCCCCAAAACGAACATTAACCCGTCGGACCCTCGCTCCATATCGGCTGGAATTCCTGGGCAGCGTTTATCCTCGAAAGTAAGTGGAGCCTCTGCTATTTCAGGAGAGAAGTGGCCAAATAACAATAATGGCCACGGAGCGCACGGTCTATGATTGAGTGTGTTCACGGAACGGGACTGATGTTTCACAATAGAGACCGCTGCTGCTGCACGGACTCGACCGTGGAGCCACAAAGCGAGGAGAATGGCAGAAGTGAAAGAGACGGCGCGCCACAAAGGAGGGCAAAGCAGGACGCGTGTGTGCGGAGAAGCGGTGCCCTAGATCTGTGCAAGATCTGAGTTACTCTGACATCCAGCCTCCATTCATGCTGTTCAGACCAGAACTGTCTCAACCAGCACCTGGAAAAACAAAGAGAATGCGTCCAGTGGCGGCTCATCTCCGTGCGTAAATTGAGACGCATCTGTGCGTATTCGCGGTACTTTTTTGAACATGTGGACAATAAATGTGTGTTTGTTTTTCTCATTAACCCACGTCCTGCCCCATGACCACAGTGGTATAGATGCATTAAAGACTTCCTCATACTTTCATATCTGCCATGAGTGATGGCGATGCCTGCAGAATCTGACCGTGCCGGTGCGCAGGGCTGCTCTCGTGAAAAAAGCTTAAGCGCACCGGATCGCAATGGTTATGTGAAAGCATGTGTCATCCCACTGTGCCGTGACCGAGGCTGCGAGTCGTGGGTGAGGCTAATGTTCACAAAATTATGGAGTTCCCAGAGACTCCGGAGTGCGGTGTGTGTGGGGTCGCTTTCGGTTTTTCTCGCTCTGTTGGTCAAATGTGCAGATTGGAGAGCTGGAGCCAGCAGCAGCAGCAGCAGCGCTGACAACACACTCTCGCATTCATCGTCCTCCCTTCACTTCGTTACAGGCTGCGCTGCGGAGCTGTTGCAAACTTGCTGGAGTGTGGTCTCGCCATTGTTCACCCTCCTATGTGCCTTCTTTTGGGTCGGTGTGTACCTAATCCGCTGCGGGGTGCTGGTCCAGAGCGCCCTCTCCCTCCTGACCGTGTGCCACCTGGGCGAAGCAGCGGCGTGGTCTCTCCTGGACGGGACGGATGAGGAGGAGCGGCTGTTCTCGTTCACCGCCGCGGCTGTAGTCGCGCTCGTCTGCGTGGCCACCGGCTCACTCATGGTAGCGCGGCTGAACCAGGGCATATCCGTGATCGTTTTCATCAGCGTGATCAGGACTATCTCGCTCTTCTCGCTGCACAAAGTCAGGGCCACTTGGAGACCGTACGTGGCGTACCTGGTTGGAGTGCTGGGCATCCTGCTGGCGAGGTATGCTGACAAGCTCCTGCCTAACCAAGGGAGACACAAGGAGGGCTGCACCCCCGTGACTGGAGCCAGGGAAGAGATCCCTGTATTTAAAAGGCGCAGGAGGTCCAGTTCTGTGATAGCGTCAGACATGGCACACAGTCAGTCCAACAGTAAGTCACATCGCCGGACCTCTCTGCCATGCATCCAGAGGGACCAGGTAAGAAGTTTCTGTCCCGTTCAACTTTCCTTTTTCTGGGCTTGTTTTTATTTTCAAATGACGAGTTTTGATGTTTGACGGGAAGAGATGAGAGGGGGGTGGGGGGCTCAGTGCAAGGCCAATAACATGATGACTGTTGGATTCCAATTAGAATATTCACCATTATTTAATCATTATTATTATTTTTATCAAGCAGTGGTATTAATATTAGAGGTTACAGATCTTTTAAAGATGTCTCGTATGGTAGCTTGTCATCTACACAGCATTATTATTGTTATTATTATTATGACTATTATTTTTGTGTGTATCCTGTTTTCCTGTGCACTGTAAATATTACAGTTATCTTGAGTTTGCGTTGATCTTTGATCAGTTGTTATTGTTTTCATCAGTTTGGGATAACATCTGATATAACATTTCACAATATTTTTTGCGCCATTGTTTATGTAAGACCTCAAGAACGTCATTGCTCTTAAATATGAAACTATGATAGCCTACCTTATCTTCCACCATGGTCAGAATGTTGCACCCATCAGAGCACGCTGAAGTGCTTTTATTTCATGTGGATATATGTAAGGCGTAACTGCAGCTTTCTTCTGTCATAGGAGTAAAGGACCAAATTTGGTATTTTGTTGCCAGGGGAGGCTATTTTGGAAATGGTGCTTTTAAGTGTTGATGAGAAAGGGAAGCTGAAGATATGATGTCAGTGATTCATCTCATCCTTGGTTATTTATGTCAAACATTTTCCCCAGATGAGCTACTGCCACAAAAATTACAAATGCATTTTTTATCTTTCTGTCCTCGATTTTAATTGTTGCCACTTGCTCTGCATCACTCATCAAGGCTCTCTGTCCTCAAAACCCCAGGATGTAGCAGCTCTGGCTTTTAATCCTCCTCTGATACTAATACACATTCATACCTGCGTTAAAGAGGCAATGGGGGGGCTTCACTCAACCAAACTCATATCACCTCCTCAGCCCACCTTATGGAAAATCAATGAGCATGCTGGGCATGTGAATGAGAAACAGATTTTCACAGTGATCAAAGCTCTCGTTGTGACCTGTGAGTGCAGTTAGGTTGGGAGATGAGAGGCTGCACTGTCGGCCCCGGCCACTTGAAAGATGCCCTCAGCTCTCAGGGCTAGTTAGCGTTGTAGTGTGCTTGTTTGTTTTTCTTTGTGGTCACACACAAGTGCACACATGTGCACATGCACACACACACAAATTGGAAACAATTTACACTTTATTCTTATTTAGGTTTGAGCTGAAGATTATTCATGTGTCAGTCTTTATTAGTCTGATATGTGTTTGTTGCTGTGCTGCAGTGATACTTTTTCAGCTCAACATATTTTTGCATATGTAAAGACATTTGTTAATTTATCTGTTTTTGCATTAAATCATGAAGTTTTACCACATGTGATCTCACACTGTGATCATATATTGTTAAAAGTAAAAAAACACACACACACACACACACACAAACACAACAAATTCTGATATTTTCTTGATCCAAAGAGTGAACATTGCACAACCCAGCTGTATTTGTTTTTATAGCTTAAGCTATATGCACTATTTCACCAAATACAAAAACAGAAGGGTATAATTGATACCATCACATTAAGATTCAGACTCCATTACTATAAGGGATTCAAGATGGAGTTACCTAGAGAACAATAAAAATAGCCCTAAAATTAAGACATTAGTAGTTAACTGCTCTCATTGATGCTACTGTGGCAATTAACATGTTTTGGTCTGTTTTAGATTTGGTTGCCCCAGTAAAATCTGAGCAGAATGGAGGAAACATACCAAGAAAACAACATCTGTCTAACAACATTTATCACATCTCTGTCTCCTCTGCTCTGTCACCTCCACCAGGCTGGGATCAGCTTTATTACATGTTACATGTTACAGAACAAAGCCAGAAAAAACAATTGTTTCTGTAGCAAAGCCTGAATCTTGCATTCCCGCTCATGTGTGGCGGTTGTGCAAAGCAGTTGACCAGTCATGGCCTGCCTGTAATTGAGACACACATGGCGTACATATGCTGTCTTCACCGTGTCTTGTCTGTGTGGTCTGTAATGTGTAAACAAGCCCATGCTGACCCACACAAGTCATCACCTCGCTCACACTGGCCTCCCTGAGGGGGGTCGGACACACGTTAGGGGCCACAATGCAGACACCACATGCTGATGGGAACAGGGGGCAACGTTAGACGGCATGAAGTGTCCAACCGGCGCTGCCTCGAGGAGCAAATTTAGTTTTGCACGGAAGCCGGCAGGCCATATTTTTCCAGGTAGTGCTTCTTAGTTCGTTGACCTGAAGGGGCTGTGTGATGTTTTAACAGTCCTGCGCTTTCGCTGTGTTAAATAGAGTTGTGATGTTGTAAAGGAGCCGGAGAGACAGAGGCATGACAAAGAGTAGATCTGCACTTTGTTGACCTGATGGTGTTTGCATTAGCTCCGCGTCTGTGTAGTGTTTGAAGGATAGTGTCAGGTTGTATGGAGGATTGCAGCTCACAGGAAGTGTCCTCTACAGGAAGCTTCCCTCACAGAGTCTTATATAATGGCCCTTCAGATTGATGGTCATTATTTAAGGACAGTTAATCCAAAAAATAAACAGATTAAAAAGAAATCCATCTGCCTTTGCTTCCTCGTGAGCCTTAAAGTTACCGCGTTGCCCTTCCCCGTTCTGCCAAAGCCATGCTCCGAGGCTACGCTTCAATCTGCTCAACTGTAGATTTAATAAACAGCCATTCGCCCTCCTTTTGATTACAAATTGGCTGCCAGCATCTATCAGTCCAGCTAAGTGGGTGGATTTCACAATGGTGGGGTCATTGTCCCAATCACAGGCATAATAAAAGAAAGTCATTATCAGTTGATCTGATAGCGGTTAGCTGGGGGCCTCTGCGGGATAGTTCGTCTTCGTGGGTTAATACAAAATGACAAGCCAGTCTTCTGTATTTCAGCTCGGGATATTGAACTGGAGGAAGAGTTGTGGACTTGTGGTGTGGATCACTTTTCACAGCGTGTAAGGAAATGTGAGTCCAGGTCTCTCCTGCTGCAGACATCAGCGCTGTCATGGAACTTTCTCTCCTCGCGAGCAGAGGAAAGAAGTCTGTCATGTTGCCAGCACACATCAAATGTTTTTTTTAATGAAGCGTACCTGAGCTGCAAAGTTTGAGTAGAAACTGATAAAGCAGGGAGGGGTGGGATATTAGCGAGTTGCCTCTGCATTTTGCAATTCTCTTTGCGAGGTGTTGGAAACACCTCTCGTTTCTGTCTGTGACTCCACCCTCTCCACGGCGCTCTGTCCTTTCACTGACACCAACACAAATATTATCCCAACCAGAGGAGGAAATTCTTTCTTAACTTGGATGATAAAGATATTCTTGAAATCTATGATAATGACTTCCTGTGGAATGGGATCCAAACACAATTACTGTAGCTGTTGTAAATGTTTCCTGTTACTCTATTTTTGCTGCACCATCCATAATTGAATTGTGTTTTGGATGGAGGAGGTTGTTGATAGCCTGTAGGGCAGTGATTTACTACTGGGCCAGTGCGCACTCTCATCCCAAACAGCTTGTTTGTATTCTAAACACAAAGCCTCATGGGATATGATTTTTTTTTTCACTTTTTTTTTCTTTTGACTGGACTGGCCTCTGGGTTAGAATTGGTCTCACTGAAAGCCTCCCTCTGCATTTGGAAAGGAAGCTAATATAATGATGGGGTCATGCATTTTGAGATTGGGGGATTCACTTCACACTTTGAATCCTCATTCAGTCCCAGTGTATTAGCTGCGGTGTGCGTGTGAGGAGGCAAAGGGTGGAGGAATTGGGGTATAAATGAAAGTAGGTCATTCAAGGTTTTGTTTAGTAGCCAGGCAAAACAGCAGGCTTACTCTTACCCCCCCTCTGTAAAGTGGAAGAGTCACACATTCGACTGAAACAGAGTATCAACTCTTTGCATGCTTGTGCACCCAATTCGAATGTATTGCGTCTGCCATGTTGGCTTCCCAGTGTGTGCCACATTTAACTGAGGTTTGGTGTGTGGCGGCGTGAATAAATTATACACGTTTTTCACCAAACCAAATTTCTGCACGGTTCTGCAATAACTGGCAGCTCCTACCTGGTTATACTGTTAAAGGTCCTATATGTAACATGTCCATATGTTTGTTTGTAAGAAAAATTATACAAAACCTACTGGACAGATTAACATGAAACTTAGTGGGAGGATGCAGTGTGGGTCAGGAAAGAACCCATTCAATGTAGGTACAGATCTGGATATGAGGGTGGATCCATGAATAATTTTTTCACTTTCTTTGAATTTGCGAGGTATAGCAGTTTTAATTGATTTTATAGAGAACTCAAGGATCTTGATAAAAATATCTAGGCGTTTTAAGAGTGCATTATGAGAGAGTGTTGGATCTAGAAATGTGGTTTCAAAAGGGGACTGTTGGGCCTTTGTGGAGGTATAAACTCTACTGACTCTACTACCATTCAAGTGTAGAAAGCATCTGGTGGTATAAAAGTACTGTGAAAGTATCATTGCAGTCAATACACAGAGAAATGTTCACAGCCTGTATCCCGAAACTGTGCCTTTCAGATAACTGTGAGGACTTCCATAACTTTGTGATGTCACAACATCAACAGTCACCACTCCCAGTCATGCCTGTGGCATGTAGTGTATAACTGTTCCTTTAAAAAGTATATAATCGTCTAACATCCTACTTATTACTCCACATAAACTCTTTTTAACGATGTTGCCCTGCTCTCAGAAATTAACTGGATGAGAACAATGTTGTTATTACCAACAGCAGTAATAGTCAAACTATGAAAATGAGACCCAAGTTGTAATAAAGTGGAATTATTCTTTAAACTCTCCATTACATGGCTCACCATATGTGTCCAATTCTTTCATTACCTTCATTTATGGCAACATGAGTAGCTCATATCCTGATTCTTGCCCCGTGTCTGTGATCACCTAAGCCAACCGAACCAGAGGT